GTTTGAACATATATATCCGCATTCCGACTTTTTAAATGCCCATTTAATCAGGTGTGTGAATTTTTTCTTAATAAGATTATGAGGCAACGTGGTATATAGGGTAGAAAAATAAAACTTTGAACAGATTCGAAATCACCAATATAAGCATGCAATTTATCAAGTACTTCCAACGAATTTTTGACACTCCAAAAGTAATTAATTATACTATTTTCAAGGCCTTATTTGAACAATTTATTACCAGGTTTTTGATTGTACCAAGTGTACTAGTAAGTAGAATAGATAGTTTAATAGTGGAACAATGGCTTGAAGACGAAATAAATCTATATTTGTAAAGAATTTTGTGCAGCTTCGGAAGCCAGTACATAGTTGGAACTTTCATTGTATTTGGTTCTGCTTGTAAAGAGGTAGCTAAAAGTTTATGTTCGTTACAGATGTCATTTTCCGAAAATGGAGTCAGTTGGAATGTTGGTGAATTCGTGATTTCCTTTTGTAGAACATCAATGTAAAATTTACGTCAAACAATAATGATATTATTAGCAGCCTTATCAGCCGGGACAAAAATATATTCCTTGGCGAGTTCTTTTAGCTTATGTTTGATACGGGGAATTGGGATATTATGGTTGTTGTTAGGAGTAAAATGATCTTTAAAATGTTGAATACGTATATCAACTATGTTCATTACCGAATTAAAAAAAGAATCTAATGATTTCTTGTCAGCTTTTTCTCGTTTTATCCATTTAGAGCAGTAAGTACGGAGTGAGTCGTGGATGATGTTACGACAATCATTCCAATTGATAATTGACGGGGGACGATATTAAGGTCCTTTACCGAGGAATGATTTTAACTCTCGGTCACGAACGATGTTAAGGTCTCCTGTTATAACATGGGAACTGGGGCCATAAATGTATTCGGATTTACTGCAATTTCATGAGGTAGGTATATAAATATCTGCAAAGGGAACTAACAACTTTTATCGGATCGGAACGATTTAGATCTTGACGTAAATAATATACACCTATTGACTTGTTATGAGGGTAATAGCAAGTTTGTTGTCCCTGACATACCAACTATTGTTCGAGGCGAAGCCGAGGGTAATAGTTATTATCAAAGGGACAACAAACTCGCTATTACACTCATAACCAGTCACTAAGTGTTTTATTATACCGAACAAAACAACTTTCTAAAAAAGACTACATGTATACACCACTTGGAAAAACACTAAATAGTCACATAGACATGCACAAGATGAACCATCAGGTTTTTGTTATTTGCCCATATGGTAATTGTCAATATTTAAAAGACCAGGAATACTTGGGTAAAAACTTCAGTGCATATAATAAACGCTAGATAAGATATTTTACCATACACCAAAGCAATCCCAGATTATGAAGACGACGACATACCCATACCATAAATTTGTTATGTTATAGTTCTTAAAATATGTCGCGTAGATTTTCTTTTCTTTTTTAGTTGCTTCTGGTAAGTAATATCTAAATTTGAAATTACGACGACAGACACATACAGATTATACCGTTTACGATATTTCAGAGTTTAACTTTACCAAGCGCACAAATCTAAAGAAATTGGTCTAAGAAGTCATTTTTGTCCAATGAAAAATTAGTATAAAAAAGTACGGGAAATGTGTTTATAAACTGTTAACACAGAGAAAAGTCTCGCCTTTTTGTATTTTGATAATGCAAATGTTGAAATTAAAATAGCAATACTTTAACATGTAAGTTATGCAAATATTCAAAGTCAATGAACCATGACTGAAGGTACATGGCAAAACAATCTCCATGGAAATGAGACGTGCCAGTGCTAATACAACTGCATACCAAATACCATAGACTTAATATCATAAGTCGTTCCCTTTCAACAAACCTAAACACAAACATTGACTTGTAAACTATGTAAAAGTTTCAAAATCAATGAACCGCGATGAGGGGGTGGGGCTATATAATCCATGGAAATGAGACTTGCAAATGCCAATACATTTGCATACCAAATATCACTGACCTAACTGATCTAATCACAAACTAATACATGTAAACTAAGCAAAAGTTTCAAAGTCAATAGACCATGACTGAGGGGGCGGGACCAAATGTTCTCCATGGAAATGAGATGTGCTAATGCTTATACAACTGCATACCAATTATCATTGACCTACCACTAACGGTTCCCCTTGAACTGACCTAATCACAAACTAATACATGAAAACGAAGCAAAAGTTTCAGTCAATAGACCATGAATGAGGGGGCTGGGCCAAATAATCTCCATGGAAATGAGATGTGCCAATGCTTATACAACTGCATACCAAATATCATTGACCTACCACTAGTGGTTCTCCATAAACTGACCTAATCACAAACTAATACATGTAAACGAAGCAAAGTTTCAAAGTCAATAGACCTTGACTGAGGGGGCGGGACCAAATAATCTACATGGTAATGAGATGTGCCAATGCTAATACAACTGCATACCAAATATCATTGACCTACCACTAGTGGTTCACCATGAACTAGCCCTAATCACAAACTAATACATTGTTGACGCCGCCGCCGTCGCCATCGCCGTCGCCGACGCCGGAAACAGCATACCTATGTCTCACTTTTTGACTCCGTCAAGGCGAGACAATAAAACTATTGTCCTGGGTAATAGTCTTTGAAACTATTGACTGACAAAAAAAACTGTGGAATGAAATAGCACAAATATTTCATTCTTTTTTATATAGAAATAAGATACTGAAGTATAATAATTATGTATTATACGTAAATTAAATTACGTTTATACATATCGAATAACGTGTATACATAAATAAGTATTTTTTACCCTGATTCCACGCCATTGCATGTTACTCAAAAAGTTTTAAAATGATGGAAATCTCGCATTTTCACAAGCCTAAGGATAGTTTGCATTGAAAAATGTAGCAATCAAATGTAAAGTGCATATTTTGCTACAATAATATTCAAAAATAAGTCTTATCATAAAAAGAAGGAGATGTGGTATGATTGACGATTAGACAACTTTCAACCAGATTTTGAATGACGTGGTTACATGTATAAACAATTATAGATCGCTGTACAGCCTTCAATAATCAGAAAACACTATATATACCGTATATTAAGCTATTAAGTTTTTGGGATGTATAAATACACATCCACGTATATTTTCTATTTAGAGATTGCTTTATCTATATATAACATGATACATATTTATTATAAGGTTAAATCCTAACTATCCTACTGCCAAGTCATGTCTTCTTCGACTGTCCATGGCGTTAACACACTGAATCCCTGGGATGTGTTTAAATTGATTTTAGTCTTTGATGCATGATTTTTTATTATTAATTGTTTTTTTGGTTTTTAACTAGCTTTCAGTAACTGTGAGTACTCTCAAATCGTACTTTCTTGTTAATTTGACCTGTTGACACAATTTGTAATGCATTTCTGTTATTCAATGTTTACTTACTTTGTGTTATATCTCGTCTCACTATTTTTAATATGTACCACCTTTGATAAGTATGTATTATGACGATAAGTTTTCACTTCTGTACTCGTACTGTGTACAACAAATTTATTTATTTTGTAAAAAATGTTTCCGTACTCCTAACAACAATATTGTTATATTTAAATTTACCTGTGTACGTATTTTTATTTAACGCCATTTTGTCCCAGGTTAGAGTTGTCTTTTTGACATTGTTCCTACATCTTTTTTAATAATATTGTATTCATTAGTTAGAACTTAGAACACTACTGCAACTAGAACACTACCAGAACTAAAACCCTACAACAATTAAAAACAGCTGGTATACCTTAATTAGAACACAACTAGTAACAGCTGGCATGTCATAGTTAGAACACTGCCACAACTAGTGACAGCTAGTATGCCATAGTTAGAACACTGCCACAACAAGTAACAGCTGGTATGCCATAGTAAGAACACTGCCACAACTAGTAACAGCTAGTATGCCATAGTTAGAATACTGCCAAAACAAGTAACAGCTGGTATGCCATAGTAAGAACACTGTCACAACAAGTAACAGCTGGAATGCCATAGATAGAACACTAAGTCAACTAGTAACAGAATAGTGTGCCTTAGTTAGAACACTACCACAACTAGTAACAGCTAGTATGTCATAGTAAGAACACTAAATCAACTAGCAATAGCATAGTTTGACTTAGTTAGAACACTGCCAGAACTAGTAACAGCTGGTATGCCGTAATAAGAACACTGCCACCACTAGAAAGAGGTGGTATACCTTAGTTAGAACTTAGAACACTACCACAACTAGAACACTACCAGAACTAAAACCCTACAACAAATAAAAACAGCTGGTATACTTTAGTTAGAACACAACTAGTAACAGCTGGCATGTCATAGTTAGAACACTGCCACAACTAGTGACAGCTGGTATGCCATAGTTAGAACACTGCCACAACAAGTAACAGCTGGTATGCCATAGTAAGAACACTGCCACAACTAGTAACAGCTAGTATGCCATAGTTAGAATACTGCCGAAACAAGTAACAGCTGGTATGCCATAGTAAGAACACTGTCACAACAAGTAACAGCTGGTATGCCATAGTAAGAACACTGCCACAACTAGTAACAGCTAGCATGGCATAGTTAGAACACTGCCACAACTAGTAACAGCTGGTATGCCATAGTTAGAACACTGCCACAATCAGTAACAGCTTGTATGCCTTAGTAATTAATTACATCTATATATAGTACATTTTTATTTCAATTTTTTGTTTTCAATGAGCTTCCTCAATTACATTAAAGACTTGGAGAAATCTATGAGGCAAACTTCAGGAGTTTAATAATACCACAATATCCTGACAGATCAAGAAACAACTTTTATCACAACATGTCCTATAGGTTGTTTGCAGTAAAATTTTGCAGTATGATGTTAACAACAGACAGCAAGTGATGGCAATAGATCATTAGCTATTGTTTGAAATTTTCTGCTCCTGGTTATTAATCAACAATTCTACAGACACATATTAATAGTTTTATCTCTTAAGATTTTGTAACAATTATTATACATTCTAAGTTTTTATTTCATCAAATAATTTACAAAGTGCACTTGTTCTTTTACAAATTGTTTCTGCAGTTTCACCAAGATTGTTTGAAATAGTTCTATCAGTGTTGGAATTGGACAATAGCAATATTATTGTCTCTCGAGTATCTTTACAGGAAGAAGCTAGATGTAGCGGTGTTTGACCACCATTTGTCTGTGCATTTATATCTGCATTATGTTCCAGTAAAACTTGAATAACTGCTGACTGATTCCATCGTGCAGCACTGTGTATTGGTTGCCATCCATCTGTTGTCATAGCTTTAATATCTGCATTATTTCTAATCAATAACTGTAAATAAAAAGTATATCTTTGATAGGCTCTGTTGAATTTATTCACATGATATATCATGTACACCTGTGTCTATACTTGATGTCAGGTTTTTGTGTTGTTTGGTTTCTGTCTCATCAGTAAGGAGAGAAATGCAGACTGAATCTACAGCAAACGGAGCAAAAAGCAATTGTACTTTACAAACCAATACATGTATGTCTTTCAAAATGAGAAATCATTTACTTTATCTATTGACAATGTGAATGTTGTTAATAGACATAATAATCTAAATTACATGTCCATGATTTTTCAGTTGTCTTCTAGCTAAATTTAATCATGTGAACAGCGAGATTGTAAAAATATTAGTCAATTAAAAAAAAACGGAAAACCAATCAAACAAACAGACCCATTGGTGGCCTTGGGTTGTTTTCTGCTCTTTGACACATTCCCCGTTTCCATTCTCAATTCTAAAATTAAAAAATTCGTAAGGGTTCCGCGGAACCCAGTGTCTCGCCTACTTTTGCTGTTAATCACAGGCTCAACAAAATTGAGGAAAAAAATTAATAAAAATATTCCTCTCTATACTATCTTTTGATTGTAAGTAGCTTCTGTCCAAGTTTGGTAAAAATCCAGGATAGTTTATGAATCTAATAAATGTTTTAAAAACTTAAACTGCAGACTGTTATGTAATGTTAACTGGAAGAAAAACTAAGTCCATTTATAAGTAAAATACGGAAAAAATGGAACAAAATTTTAACAAAATTTCCTTTTAGATACTAGCTTTTAATCATAGACAAGCTTCTGTCCAAGTTTGGTACAAATCCAGGATAGTTTAAGAAAGTTGTTAAAATTTTAAAAACTTTAACCACAGAGTGAATGTAATGTTAACTGGCAGAAAAACTAAGTCCATTTATAAGTAAAATACGGAAAAAATTGATTTTTTTTTTTACAAAATTTACTTCTGGATACTATCTTATGATCATAAACAAGCTTCTTTCCAAGTTTGGTACAAATCCAGGATAGTTTAAGAAAGTAATTAAAATTTCAAAAACTTTAACCACAGAGTGAATGTAATGTTTCCTGGCAGAAAAACTAAGTCCATTTATAAGTAAAATACGGAAAAAATGGAATTTTTTTTTTACAAAATTTACTTTTGAATATTATCTTATGATCATAAACAAGCTTCTGTCCAAGTTTGGTAGAAATCCAGAATAGTTTAAGAAAGTTATTAAAATTTCGAAAACTTTAACCACAGAGTGAATATTTGTGGACGCCGACGACGCCGACGGAATGTAGGATCGCTATGTCTCGCTTTTTCGACAAAAGTCGAAGGCTCGACAAAAAGCCTTGAAAGGCTATGTTATGTTCACCTGGTGACTATGTTAAATGTTAAACTTGACCATTCTCTTGGCCAAATAATGCCTAAAAATTAAGATTTTTCTTTGGTTGCCATGTTTGTCATTTGATAACAAAAAAAGAAGATGATTCTTCATTGAGAACATTCAATTGATTTTTGTATTAAAATTTGAAAGCTTGGTTCAGATTGGTAACATACTGTGGATTCATTTATTTTCGTTAATATAAATTTTCGTTGATTGAAAAAAATTTGTATTTTCATAGATATTTTATTTCGGTGTTTTGCCAAAGTAAGTACACAAGCCTTTGAAAAATGTGTTCTTCTTTGAATGTGGTTTAACTACCTATAAAATTCACGAAAATCCAATCAATGGAGGGAGTTTAGCTGTTACTGATAATGTAAATGTTCAAATGATCTCTTTTCATTCCTTTTACTTCATTCCTACCTTAACCATATCAACATGACCATTATAACATGCTCTATGAAGTGGAGTATACATGTCATCATCACAAGATTTGATCAATTCTGGGTCTGTCTGTAGCAATGAGTCTGCTATATCTAAATGATTATTTTCTGCAGCCCATAATATTCTTTTCTTTGGATCATCTGAAAATTCCGAAAAATATATAGGCTGAACATTAAAAATATATATTCAAATCCAAATCATTTATTTTCAATAATCATTGGAACAGATCCATATAAATCATATGAATTGTTTAAAAAAGAAACAAATGTGATGAGTATGCATACGTTGTGTATATACACATATTTATAAGTGATGAGTATGCATACGTTGTGTATATACACATATTTATAAGTGATGAGTATGCATACGTTGTGTATATAGACATACTTATAATAAATTGTTTCGCCAAGCGCAGCTGGATACGACCGCAGAGGTCCAACCCTGAACAGTTGGGGCAAAAATGGACACAATATTCGCGCTTGATACAGGTCTGAATTTGGATTGTAATTAAATATTTGACACATAATAGGTTTCTGACACAGAATAACTGTAGTCAAAGAACTTAGAATTGGTTATGTGATTTTAATTTATATTCAATTTTTTGCTTTTGTGCAATACACTATGCTGTTGCGAATTGACCCCCCCCAAAAAAAAAAAATTACCCCCCCTTTTTTTTGGCTTTTGTGCAATACACTATGCTGTTGCGAATTGACCCCCCCAAAAAAAAAATCCCCCCCCCCCCTTTTTTTTTGCAAAAAAAAAATATTTGAAGAAATTTTCTTTTTAATTTCATAAATCTGAAATGAGAAAAAATTGTCCCCCCTCACAATTTCTTTTTAACCCCCCCCCCCCTTTTTTTTCACCTCCCCCCCCCCCCCCCTTTTCCCAAAAAAAAACATTCTGTCCCTCAAGATATGGTCATAATCTCAATTCAAATTTCCAATGGAGTTTGCAACCATAATTACCCATTTAAAAACATCATAAAAGTCTTAAAATAGAAAATGACATACATTGTACATAATCATGGCCAAAATTAATATTCCTTAATCAGCATTTTTAAATAGTAACTTCTAAAAATAAATTGACAGCTAATCACCTCAAGACAATACAACATTTCTTTATACATAATTCAAAAGCAGTGTAAGGGAGGTAATCCAAACATAACATTGTACTTTTTTTTAATTGTCCATTAACCAGGCAACCCTTGTTATCCCCCTTTTTCGCCCCTAAATCCTAAACGGTTTGAGCCATAACCCCCAAAAGCCAATCCTAACCATCCCTTTGTGGTATGGAAACTTGTGGTATAATTTCAGAGAGATCCATACACCATTCCACAAGTTATTGTCTGGAAACTAGAAAAATGCTTATTTGGGCCCCTTTCTGGCCCCTAATTCCTAAACTGTTAGGACTATAACCCCCAAAATCAATCCCAACCTTCCTTTTGTGGTTATAAACCTTGTGTTTAAGTTTCATAGATTTCTATTCACAATTACTAAAGTTATTGTCCGGAAACCAAATGTCTTCGGACGGCGCTGATGATGACGACGCTGACGATGACGTGATACCAATATACGACCGCAAAAATATAAAAACACACAAATTATCAGTTGAGTAGTAAGTAAAACACAATCATCATTATGTATGTACTATTTACATTTAAAAAAACTTGAGGCTCTAAAGAGCCTGTGTCGCTCACCTTGGTCTATGTGCATATTAAACAAAGGACAGAGATGGATTCATGACAAAATTGTGTGATGGTGATGTGTTTGTAGATCTTACTTTACTGAACATTCTTGCTGCTAACAATTATCTCTATCTATAATGAACTTGGCCCAGTAGTTACAGTGGAAAATATTTTGTAAAAATTTACAAAAATTTACAAAATTTATGAAAATTGTAAAAAATTGACTATAAAGGGCAATAACTCCTTAAGGGTCAATTGACAATTTTTGTCAAGATGACTTATTTGTAGATCTTACTTTGCTGTACATTATTGCTGTTTACAGTTTATCTCTATCTATAATAATATTCAAGATAATAACCAAAAGCTGCAAAATTTTCTTAAAATTACCAATTCAGGGGCAGCAACCCAACAATGTGTTGCCTGATTGGTCTGAAAATTTCAGGGCAGATAGATCTTGACCTAATGAACAATTTTATCCTTGTCAGATTTGCTCTAAATGCTTAGGTTTCAGAGATATGAGCCATAATTACACCTTATGTAAGAATCCTGGGTTTTGATTGGTTGATAGCCAGTGTATTTTTCACCAATTTACTTTTATCAAATGAATATCGTTCATTTTTAAACAGCGCCGGGGTATATGCAAAAAGGATATGCCTTTTTTACCCTATCTGCCGTGGTATTTGCCAAAAAATACTCTATCCGACTGGACGCTTGTAATGTCATGATCATCAATGCGTTTTATGTCACGATCATCAATGCGTTTTGTACGTTAACATTCGGTGTAATTAAACAGATATAGCATGTTCTTGAGGGGTATTTGCGAAAAATACCAGTCTTGAGAATGAATTTCGCTCGCCTTACGGCTCGCGAAATTTAACATTCTCTCGACTGGTATTTTTCGCAAATACCCCTCCTTAACATGATGTATCTGTTCAAAAGCTGCATTTTACTCTATGTACTATTTTTTAGCCATGTCGGCCATCTTTGTTCACAGGTGGGGTCATCGGACACATTTTTTTATATAGATACCCTAATGATGATTGTGGACAAGTTTGGTTAAATTTGTCTTAGTAGTTTCAGAGGAGAAGATTTTTGTAAAAGATTACAAAAATTTACGAAAAATGGTTAAAAATTGACTATAAGGGCAATAACTCCTAAAGGGGTCAACTGACCATTTTGGTCAAGTTGACTTATTTGTAGATCTTACTTTGCTGATCATTATTGCTGTTTACAGTTTATCTCTATCTATAATAATATTCAAGATAATAACCAAAAACGGCAAAATTTCCTTAAAATTACCAATTCAGGGGCAGCAACCCAACAACGGGTTGTCAGATTCATCTGAAAATTTCAGGGCAGATAGATCTTGACCTGATAAACAATTTTACCCAATGTCAGATTTGCTCTAAATGCTTTGGTTTCAGAGATATAAGCCAAAATCTACATTTTACCCCTATGTTCTATTTTTAGCCATGGCGGCCATCTTAGTTGGTTGGCCTGGTCACCGGACACATTTTTTAAACTAGATACCCCAATGATGATTGTGGCCAAGTTTGGTCAAATTTGGCCCTGTAGTTTCAGAGGAGAAGATTTTTGTAAAAGTTTACGGACGACGGACGCAGGACGACGGACGACGGACGCCAAGTGATGAGAAAAGCTCACTTGGCCCTTTGGGCCAGGTGAGCTAAAAATGAGTTTACAATTTAAAACTATCTTTATAAAAACTTAATTTCAAATTATCTCCAACATTTGGTTTTATGCTTCTAGTGAAATTGCAGTTTAGCATTTCATCCCAATTAATTAAAATTTCAGGGGTTTTTTTTTCTAAATATAGGTAATCAACAATATGAACATGTATAAAAAATGTGAAGAAAAACAAAAATCTTTCAAATTATTTTCTGGAATTTAGAATTAATGTTTAGCTTTTTTGGAAAGCATACAATATGGTATGAGTTTCAACTAGGTTTAATCCACCATTTTATACATACAAAAATGCCTTTACCAAGTCAGATATATGTTTTCCATTCGTTTGATTTGTTTGAGATTTTGATTTTGCCATTTGATAAGGGACTTTCTGTTTTGAATTTTCCTTGGAGTTCGGTATTTTTGTTATTTTACTCTTTTCATTGTCATCTCACTAATGAGGTGACCTTTGCATGCTCATTTTGTGTTGTTAGGCTAAGTGGCTCTCTTATTGATGTTATTTGTATGTAAACACAATGTCTCTTTTTACTGGTTTGATGTATATTTTAATGGCATTATTTTCATAAAGCATTCTATTGAACTTAGCTTTAATTATACATTTCTTAGCTACAATTATATTACTTTGTATTTCTTCCTCATTTTCTTCATCTTCATCCTCATCTGATTCTCCAGGAAACATAAAACCTCCCATCGCCTGCTGATGCTGCAACATCTAATAAAGTAATTCAGTGGTTGTCTGTCATATTTGTTTTTCATCAATTGATTTCAATTGTTATGAATCAGGTGTTTGTTTTCTCTTTGAATTGTTTCATTTTTTCAGGTCTGGGTGTTTTATAGCTGACTATACAGATAGTTTTTTCTCATTGTTGAAGGTTGTATGGTGACCAGTCACTGACCTCTGATTGCTTACTTCCACATTATTTGAACTCTAGTGGATAGTTGTCTCATTGGCAATCATACCACATCTTCTTACTTTTATACTACTATATAATTTAATTTTGGATGTAACACGTCTTCTGATTTGCTGAAAGTGTTTTTTGTCTATCAGCTCATAGACACAATTTTGTCATTTGACCGTGACGTCATCAACGTTTTCATCATGATTTACTCCTTTTTAGAATTAAATTATAAGGAATGACTGTAATATGTTTTCTGTCTATTCGAAATAACATAAAAAATGTGGTGCACACTTTTAAATAACCCTCTACATGGGTTATTCAGTGTGCACCACATTTTTGATGTTATTTCTTCAAAGAAAGAAGAAATATTACAGTCATTCCTTAAATATTGTACAAAATTTTTCAACAAAAGTACAAAAGCAAGGAGGTGGGAAAATTCTCAAAAGCTGATCAACCTGTAACAGTTTGAATGGTATTGTTTTATTTGGTCAACTTTTAACCATAAAATCTCTTTAACTGCAGAATTACTCTTCAATCTTTTAACTCTCTCTGGCAAATTTCAAACAAAAGAAAAGTATGTAAAAACATTTATTAGGCTTAGATCACAAAAACTTACAGGTCTACATAACATAAACTATACACACAATACAAAAACAAATGACAGTCACAATACAAGTACATGTAACTTACTCAAACAGAAGGTACAAAAACCTATCTTTCAAAAAACCCGCTAAACACACGGGAGAAAAAATCAAAGCGTGAAAGCGCTGTAAAGGCAGTTAATTACAGGTTGTGTGTATTTTTAGTCCAGTTATATCATTATCTTGCATAGTACAGTGTACTTATCAGAGGTGGCTTTCAGTATTTAAGATTTAGAGTTCTCTAATGATATTGAACAAGTTTTATGAATGTCATATTCTGAGCACTATATGAAGGCGTTTGTTCTCACTTGTTTATGAACTTGTGCATTATATCCAGTTTGTACCTTTTTTATCTATGTTTATAGTCAAATTAGTTATCAAAGGTACCAGGATTATAATTTAATACGCCAGACTCGCGTTTCGTCTACATAAGACTAATCAGTGACGCTCAGATCAAAATAGTTATAAAGCCAAACAAGTACAAAGTTGAAGAGCATTGAGGACCCAAAATTCCAAAAAATTGTGCCAAATACGGCTAAGGTAATCTATTCCTTGGATAAGAAAATCCTTAGTTTTTCGAAAAATTCAAAGTTTTGTAACAGGAAGTTTATAAAAATGACCATATAATTGATATTCAAATACTGTTTAAAATAGTTAGGCATTTTCTTTTTAGAAATAAGTAAATGTTATCAACTGTATTTTATTCAACTCTGCAAATGTGGTTTGTTACTGGTAAGTATGGATGATAGTTGTTTCATTGGCAATCATAACACATCTCCTTATTTATATAATGATCTATATTCAACGACCTCAGGTACAAAAAAAATGTATGTAACTAAACTGTGATGGGAAACCTTTGACTTCTTTCTTTTATATAAACTTTTGATTTGGTACCATAGAACTATGTAGAATAAATGTACATTGCAACATGTCAACTCTTTCAATGACAATACTTTTTTAGAAACTATAACTCCAAGCAAAATTATATTTCCAAGTTTAAAGTAATTTATGAATGAAAAAAGGAGTTCTTAATTAAGAAATAAACTGATTCGCTGAGCGCAGCTGGATACACCGCAGAGGTCCAACCCTGAACAGTTGGGGCAAAAATGGACACAATATTCAAGCTTGATACAGGTCTGTATTTGGATTGTAATTAAATATTTTACATATTATAGTTTCTGAATAAATGTAGTCAAAGAACTTGAAATCGGTTATATGAATTGAATTTATATTCAATTAAAGATTTCTTGCTGTTGTGCAATAAACTGTGCTGTTGCGCAATACTTAATAAATCTGTTGCCAGACTATAAAGAATAAAGTTCAATTTCTTCTCAATGTCATATTTGAAATTTATGAAAATCTATAGGGAGATTACATCAATAGCTATAAATAATTCACCCAAGTTTCATGCGAACTGCTTAAAGCATTTTTGAGTTGTTGTCCAACAACAGTGCACACGCTGAAATGTCTCGCCTTCTTTACTAATCACTGATATTGTGTTGATAGCCCTTAATATAAAGCTTTATTACAACTGTCACATAAACTTAACATTAACCAAGAAAACTAAACATTGACCAATGAACCATGAAAATGAGGTCAAGGTCAGATGAACCATGCCAGGCAGGCATGTACAGCTAACAATTCTTCCATACAACAAATATAGTTGACCTATTGCTTATAGTTTAAGAAAAACAGACCAAAACACAACTAGATACGCCCGCAGAGGTCAAACCCTGAACAGTTGGGGCAAAAATGGACACAATATTCAAGCTTGATTCAGGTCTGAATTTGGATTGTAATTAAATATTTGACATATTATAGGTTTCTGAATAAATGTAGTCAAAGATCTTGAAATTGGTTATATGAATTGAATATGCAATTAAAGATTTCTTGCTGTTGTGCAATACTTAGTAAACCTGTTGTCAGACTATAAACAAATAAAGTTCAATTAATTCTCAATGTCATATTAGAAATTTATGAAAATAAAAAGGGAGCTTACAACAATAGATATAAACAATTCACCAAAGTTTCATGAGAATTGGTGACAGCATATTTGAGTTATTGTTCGAAAACTGGAAAATCACCCCTTTTTTTAATGAATAAAACCCCATAACTCAGAAATGTAAAATGTAAAATTTATAAAATTCTAAAGGGAGCTTACATCAATACATACAAACAATTCACCAAAGTTTCATAAGAATTGCTGTAAGCATTTTAGAGTTTTTGTCCGAAAACTGGAAAATCCCCCCTTTTTTTATGAAGAAAACCCTGTAACTCGGAAACGTAAAATCTAAAATTTATAAAAATCGAAAGGGAGCTCATGTCAATAGATATAAACAATTCACCACAATTTCTTGCAAGTTGGTGAAAGCATTCTTGACTTATTGTCCGAAAACTGGAAAATCCCCCTTTTTTTAATGAATAAAACCCCATAACTCGGAAATGTAAAATCTAAATTTTATAAACTAGAGGCTCTAAAGAGCCTGTGTCGCTCACCTTGGTCTATGTGCATATTAAACAAAGGACACAGATGGATTCATGACAAAATTGTGTTTTGGTGATGGTGATGTGTTTGTAGATCTTACTTTACTGAACATTCTTGCTCCTTACTATTATCTCTATCTATAATGAACTTGGCCCGGTAGTTTCAGTGGAAAATATTTTGTAAACATTTACAAAAATTTACAAAATTTATGAAAATTTGAAAAAAATTGACTATAAAGGGCAATAACTCCTTAAGGGGTCAATTGACAATTTTGGTCATGTTGACTTATTTGTAGATCTAACTTTGCTGTACATTATTGCTGTTTACAGTTTATCTCTATCTATAATAATATTCAAGATAATAACCAAAAGCTGCAAAATTTTCTTAAAATTACCAATTCAGGGGCAGCAACCCAACAACGGGTTGTCTGATTCATCCGAAAATTTCAGGGCAGATAGATCTTGACCTGATAAACAATTTTACCTAAGTCAGATTTGCTCTAAATGCTTTGGTTTCAGAGATATAAGCCAAAATCTACATTTTAACCCTATGTTCTATTTTCAGCCATGGCGGCCATCTTGGTTGGTTGGCCGGGTCACCGGACACATTTTTTAAACTAGATACTTGAATGATGATTGTGATTAAGTTTGGGTGCATTTGGCCCAGTAGTTTCAGAGGAGAAGATTTTTGTAAAAGTTTACGGACGACGGATGCAAAGTGATGAGAAAAGCTCACTTGACCTTTCAGGTCAGGTGAGCTAAAAATGAAAGGGAGCTCACGTCAATAGATATAAACAATTCACCAAAGTTTTATGCAAATTGGTAAAAGCATTTTTGAGTTAATGTCCGACATGTTGACGACGGACTGACAGACGGACAACGGTATACCATAATACGTCCCGTAAATGGGCGTATAAAAACTTAACAGAGCAATGAACTGTGAAAATGAGGTCAAGGTCAAATAAAACTTGCGCGACTGACATAAAGATCATAAAATATTTCCATACACCAAATATAGTTGACCTATTGCATATAGTATTAGAAAAAAAGACCAAAACTCAAAATCTTAACTTTGACCACTGAACCATGAAAATGAGGTCACGGTCAAATGACACCTGCCAGCTAGACATATACATCTTACAATCATTCCATACACCAAATATAGTAGACCTATTGCATACAGTATAAGAAAAACAGACCAAAACACAAAAACTTAACTATAACTACTGAACCATGAAAATGAGGTCAAGGTCAGATGACACCTGCCAGTTGGACATGTACACTTTACAGTCCTTCCATACACCGAATATACTTGACCTATTGCTTATAGTATCTGAGATATGGACTTGACCACCAAAACTTAACCTTGTTCACTGATCCATGAAATGAGGTCGAGGTCAAGTGAAAACTGTCTGACGGGCATGAGGACCTTGCAAGGTCTCACATACCAAACATAGTTATCTTACTACTTATAATAAGAGAGAATTTAACATTACAAAAAATGTTAACTTTTTTTTCAAGTAGTCACTGAACTATGAAAATGAGGTCAAGGACATTGGACATGTGGCTGACGGAAACTTCGTAACATGAGGCATCCATATACAAAGTATGAAGCATCCAGGTCTTCCACCTTCTAAAATATAAAGCTTTTAAGAAGTAAGCTAACGCCGCCGCCGCCACATCACTAT